TCGCTGTCCTTTCCAGCATATTCACCCTTTGCACTAGCGGCTTCCGTTCCGGGCTCGTGCTGGTTTGTCATTGGCGCAGACATCACCTGCAACAACTTCTCGTTCATCGCTGGCCAGTGGAATCACGACACCGATGGCGATGGCGACGCCGGCGGAACCTTGTGCGAGGACAGGGCGAATGACCTGGCCCGGCGGTGCGGGATCGACTCTCACCTGGTGATCATGCACTTCAATCCACCCTCTCCGTCGCCACCCTCTCCGCCCTCTCCACCATCCCCACCATCCCCACAACCATTCGCATCGGCCCCGCCCTCAACGAGCCTCGCGGTCATTGCCATCCTTGCTGTGTGGGCAATTGGGTGGACGGCACAGTGGGCGGCGGGTCAACGCCGACAGCGGCTCCTCAAGGCGTCACGCTCCAAAACAACAGTGGTCCGTCGCCCGAGGGAAGCGGCGGAGCGGCTGGCGGCGACGGCGGCGACGGAGCGGCTAGCAGCGGAGGCGGGGGTGGAGGCGGAGGCAAAGCGGCTGGAGGCGAATCCGGAGGTGGAGCGGCTGGAAACGGAGGCGAAGCGGCTGGCGGCGGAGCGGCTGGCGGCGGAGGCGGAGGCGGAGGCGAAGGCGGAGCGGCTGGCGGCGGAGCGGCTGGCAGCAGAGGCGGAGGCGAAGGCGAAGGCGAAGCGGCTGGCGGCCGAGGCGGAGGCGGAGGCGAAGGCGGAGCGGCTGGAGGCGGAGGCGAAGCGGCTGGCGGCGGAGCAGCTGCTGGCAGCGGAGGCGGAGGCGAAGGCGAAGGCGGAGGCGGAGCGGCTGGCGGCGGCAGCGGAGGCGAAGGCGAAGGCGGAGGCGGAGGCGGAGCGGCTGGCGGCAGACGCGGAGGCGGAGGCGGAGGCGGAGGCGGAGGTGGAGGCGGAGCGGCTGGCGGCGGAGACGGCGGCGAAGGCGAAGGCGGAGCGGCTGGCGGCGGAGCGGCTGGCAGCGGAGGCGGAGGCGAAGGCGAAGGCGAAGCGGCTGGCGGCCGAGGCGGAGGCGGAGGCGGAGGCGGAGCGGCTGGAGGCAGAGGCGGAGCGGCTGGCGGCGGAGCAGCTGCTGGCAGCGGAGGCGGAGGCGGAGGCGGAGGCGGAGGCGGAGCGGCTGGCGGCAGACGCGGAGGCGGAGGCGGAGGCGAAGGCGGAGGCGGAGGCGGAGCGGCTGGCAGCGGACGCGGAGGCGAAGCGGCTGGCGGCGGAACGGCTGGCGGCGGAGGCGGAGGTGAAGGCGGAGGCGGAGGCGGCGTGGCTGGCGGCGGAGGCGGAGGCGGAGGCGAAGGCTTGGGAGGAGCGGCTCGAGGCGAGGTTCGGCGAGGCTCTGAGCGAGGCGATGCAGCGCTGCCTCCTCAGCGAGGCGGAGGCGGATGCGCTGATTGACCGGGTCGCGGCGGCGGCGGAGACGGCGGCACGTGCGGCGGTCCTACGGGAGGTGGCGGGCGAGCTGGTGGCGCGGCTGGCAAGTGCCAGTAGCGGCGGCGGGGTGGGAGGCGGTGCGGCGGAGGCGGAGCAGAGAGAGACGGGTGACGACGAGGTTGCGGCGCTCGTGGTGGACAGCGGCTCAGGCATGTGCAAGGCTGGCTTCGCCGGCGACGACGCGCCGCGCGCGGTCTTCCCCTCCATCATCGGCCGGCGCATGATCGGAGGGGCCGGCGCCGAGCTAGTGTACGTCGGGGACGAGGCGCAGTCGAGGCGAGGCATCCTGACGCTCAAGTACCCGATCGAGCGCGGCATCGTCACCAACTGGGACAACATGGAGAAGATCTGGCACCACACCTTTTACAATGAGCTGCGCGTGGCACCCGAGGAGCACCCGGTCCTGCTGACCGAGGCGCCGCTCAACCCCAAGGCGAACCGCGAGAAGATGGCCCAGTTCATGTTTGAGACCTTCAACGTGCCCGCCATGTACGTCGCCATCCCGGCCGTCCTCTCGCTGTACGCGTCGGGCCGCACCACGGGCATCGTGATGGACTCGGGCGACGGTGTCTCGCACACCGTGCCTGTCTACGAGCAGAACGTGCTAGCCCACGCCATCCTGCGGCTCGACCTCGCCGGCCGAGACCTGACCGACTGGATGGTCACGCTGCTAACCGAGGTTACCGCTCGCTACTCCTTCTTTACCCCTGCAGAGCGCGAGATTGCGCGCGACATCAAGGAGAAGCTGGCATACGTGGCGCTCGACTTTGACGCCGAGATGCAGACCGCCGCCTCGTCCTCGGCGCTCGAGAACTCGTACGAGCTACCCGACGGCCAGCTCATCACGCTCAGTGACCAACGCTTCCGCTGCTGCGAGGCGCTCTTCCAGCCTTCCCTCCTGGGGATGGCGCGGTCGGCGGGTGTGCACCAGATGGTTCACGACTCGATCACCAAGTGCGGCGACGATCTCCGCAAGGAGTTCTACGCCAACGTCGTCCTCTCGGGCGGCTCGACCATGTTCGCCGGCTTTGCGGACCGGATGTCCAAGGAGATCACCGCACTCGCGCCCGCGTCGATGAAGGTCAGGATCATCGCGCCGCCGGAGCGCAAGTATTCGGTCTGGATCGGCGGGGCAATCCTGGCCTCGCTCTACACCTTCCAGCAGTCGTGGATGTCGAGGCAGGAGTACGACGAGTCGGGCCCGTCCATCGTGCACCGCAAGTGCTTTTAAGGGCCGCCCCAAAAGCATGCGCGTGAACCGCGAGCGAGCGGCGGAAGCGGCAGAGGCGCATGGCGGTGACGCCGCGCGTGCGAGCTCCGAGGCGCATCGACAGTGGGAACTGGACACGCAGGCACGCGTGGCTTCGCGAGCCGAGGCGGCACGAGAGCGCAGCGTGCGTGAGTGGATCGACGAGCAGCGCTGCGCCCGGCGGGTAGCGGGGGGACTTTGGTGGCTGTGATCGCCGCACTCGCCGCCCTGGGGAGCGGTTGAGGCAGTGGGTCAACCCCGAAGAGATACGTCCATGAGATACGTGCGGGAGCGCGCCTATTCCTGAGGGAGGGTGTAGAGGATGTAGAGTGTAGAGCGCTGTAGAGATGTAGAGATGTAGAGCGCTCTGGAGCGCTATAGAGCTGTAGAGCTCTACATCGGTGCGGGACGAACCGTCTGCGTTGCAGAGCGATGTAGAGCGCGATTTTGCTGTAGAGTTTGTTGAGAGGCTCTACAGCAAAACCGCCGGGAAGGCACAGTGACTCAAAGAGAGGTCGAGCCGCACTATAATGGGGTGTCTCCGAGCTTACTGGAGCTCGGATGGACGGCCCTGACTTTCCCTGACACACAGAGAGTCACTCTGACGGCACACAACACCCTATAACTGCGTCATGACCAGCAGCCTGCCATGCGTCGCGAAAACAAAGAAAGAAAAACAAGTGACCAAATTAGGAGGGATGGGAGGACGGCACGCCGCCATGCAACAGGCGCCTGCGGCGCCGTGCTCAGGAGCTGCTGCTCCAACCTGCTCACAATTGGTATGTATGTATGTGTGTATGTAGGAAGGTGAAGAACAATCAGGCTCGGACTGGACACCAACGCGGTATGGGTGGACGCTGGACAGATGATGACGACACGCACGAGCGACACACAGACACAAACAAGCTCACAAGAGTCAAGACACACAGCCAGCTGGCTGCCACACACCCTGAGTTGGCGTACACATAACTCGGGGCCACATCCTCCCTGTCGCCCCCCCCAGCACTCCACGGTGCCAAGAGTACAAACAAGGGCACAACAACACAACAGACGACAGGAAGTAACATGCGAGCCTAGAGCAGGCTTGCTCCACCTCTAGCAATCTCGCCGCCCGGCGAGGCACGGACGAGACCGTGTGTGGGGTCTTGTGAGGTGTCTATGGACGCCCCCTCACAGGCTAGCTGCCTACTGCTAGCCCTAACTCGGCCTCATGGGAGATGTCAATTCATTGTATGAGTGTATGCGAGCGGAGGCGCATGTGCTAAATCTAGGCCGCACGTCGTGGCACTATGACGGAGGTAGACAATTGGTACGGTACAGGTAGGTAGGTAGTAAGGTGAAGAACAGCCAGGCTCGGACTGGACACCACGGTACAGCATCGAAGAAAAAGAAGAAAATCGGGCCCATGCTGGCCGTCGCCACGCTCAGCAGCACGCTCAGCAGCGTTCTGGCCGTCACCACGCCTCCCCGGCTCGTCGTCGGGCTCAACAAGTACTCGCACGACGCCGCAGCCACGGTGCTCGACGCAAACAGCGGCCGCGTCCGCTACTCGGCGGCACGGGAGCGGCTCACCCGCAAGAAGCACGACGGCGGCGGCTGCGGTGCCCTCGTGGCGGCCGGCGTCGCCAGCGCGGGTGGAACGCTATGCGACGTAGCCGCCGTCGTCGCCAACAACCATCATGCGCCCATCGCGCCGCTCGAACGCCGGCTCGCCGCGTGGGCGGAGAGCTCGAACGCCGGCGATGAGATGATTAGCCGGCTCGACGTCGCGAACCTGCTGCCGGAGGTGCCGCGCCGCATCGAGATCTCGCACCATCTCGCGCACGCTGCGGCCGCGTCGGCGACCGCGCCTTTTGACTCCGGCCTCGTCGTTGTCATGGACGGGATGGGTGAGCGGCGAAGCGACCTGGTCGGCCGGGCGGCCGGCGCGGCGCCGCTGGACAGGGTGGACTACTCTGCGGCCGAGTGGCCCGAGTACGTGAGCGACGCGCTGCTGCCTGGCTACGACACGTGCGTGCAGGCCGGTGCCGCGGCGAGCGACGCCGCGCGCGAGTCCGAGTCGGCGTGACCTCTTCGAGACGGTGGTATTGCGACAAGGAGGAGCCTTCCCTGAACCGTCTCGGAACCTTCCTGCAGGCGTACCTCTTCGAGACGGTGGCGGCGAGGGGCGGGAGGAGGCGGCCGCGGCTGCAGAGAGGGAGAGGTGGAGGAAGGGGGGGGGAGGCTCACGCGGCCCGTGAGTCTGGTCGAAGCCCCTCCCCTGCAGGCACCGCGTGCTGCGGCCCGTGTAATCTCCCCACATCTCCCCATATCTCCCCACACCTGCAGGCACCGCGTGCTGCGGCCCGTGTACAAGCGGTGGGCCGCCGAGACGTCCCAGCTCGGCTTCTCCGACTGGTACCACGACTTCGACGGGCTCGGCGCCGCCTCTTGCCCCACGTGGCGCCGCTCCGAGGCGAGCCGACCGTCCCGGAGCCTGCTCCGAGTGTCGCCGCGTAGGAGGCGTCTACTCGCGCGTCGCGGCGCACGTGTTTGGCGACTGGAACACGTGCGGAAAGGCGACGGGGCCCTCGCCCCGCGATCTCGACCGATCTCTCGGCCAATCTCGGCCAATCTCGGCCAATCTCGGCCAATCTCGACCGATCTCTCGGCCAATCTCGGCCAATCTCGGCCGATCTCGGCCGATCTCGGCCGATCTCGGCCAGATCTCGGCCGATCTCTCGCCAGGTGATGGGTCTCGCCCCTTGGGTGCGCGGCTGGGGCGGCGAGGCGACCGCGGGCGAGGCGGTGCGCGGCGCGGCTTGGGGCGCGGTGACGGCGGCGGAGTGGGCTTGCGACGCGGCGCGCGACAGCCGAGATGGAGCCGAGATGGAGCCGAGATAGAGCCGAGGTGGAGCCGAGATAGAGCCGAGATAGAGCCCTGTTAAGTCCGACATGCGGCCGAGATACCGCCGAGTGGGGCGGCGCGGAGCGCGAGAGCGAGGGGAGGCGGCGTGAGAGAGCGGAGTGTGTGTAACGTGAGGGTGGGCACGTGAGGGCGTGGCGCGGCGGCTGCTGCGCGCGGCTCTGCATGCGGCTCTGCATGTTGCTGTGCTGCTGCTCGGCTGCTGCTGTGGCTCGGCACGCTGCCCTGCTCGAGTAGGCGCGCGAGCTGAAGGCGGTGCCCACTCTCTGCTCCGGCCGGCTGCTCCGCGACGACAACACGCCGGGCGACTTCGCTGTCCGCTCGGCCGAGCTGGAGAAGTACCTCTCGGGCCCGGCTCAGCGGGGTGCGGGCCCAGCCTGGTCTGACCCGCGGCGGCGAGCGGCGGCGGCGGCGCTGTCCGCGGCTGTGCAGCGCGACCTCGAGGCGTGCGCGACCGACTTCCTCGCCACGCTTCGGAGCATCCACGCGCCGTGCGGCGAGCGGCTCGCCATCGCGGGCGGCGTCGGCTTGAACTCGGTCTTGAACGGCATCACGGCGGCCGAGGGCCGTAGGGGAGTGTCTCGTCGCTGCGAGGGCGGGGGCGGCGTCTCTTCACGCCAACGAGCTGTGAACACAGGCGGATTCGACGACGTTTGGGTCCCGTCGGCGCCTGGAGACGACGGGATCGCCCTCGGGTGCGCCGCGTTTGGCGCAGCGCTCCTCGACGGCGCATACGGGAGTGAGGCGGCGGCGGGGGCGGCGGCGGCGGGGGCGGCGGCGGCGGCTGCGGCGGAGGCGGAGGCGGCGGAGGCGGAGGCGGAGGCGGAGGCGGAGGCGGAGGCGGAGGCGGCAGAGGCGAGGGCGGCAGAGGTGGGGGCCAGAGCGGCGCCGTCGCCCTACGGCGGCACCGCGCACCCGCCGGGTGCTGTCGAGGCGGCGCTCGAGGAGTACGCTGGCTTCGTGGAGGCGGAGTGGCTGACCGAGGCGGCCGCCATCGAGCGGACCGCCGCCTCGCTCGCCGCGGGCGAGATACTGGCCTTGTGGGCGAGCGGCGGCGCCGAGTACGGCCCGCGCGCCCTCGGCCGGCGCTCGATCGTCGCCGACCCGCGAAACGCCGCCGCAGTCGACCGACTCAACCGGCTGGTCAAGAAGCGGGAGCCCTTCCGGCCGTTTGCGCCGTCGGTGCGTCTCGGCCCCGCAGCAGGCGAGGGCCTCCGCTACGACCAGCTTCTCTCTCGCGCCCCCTCTGCAGGTGCTCGCCGAGCACGCCGGAGAGTGGTTCGAGGGCGAGCCGCCGCCGTCCTCCTGCTAGACCTCTCCTCCACCTCTCCTCCACCTCTCCTCGAGCCGCCGTGCAGGCGTGCCGCCGTCGGGCTCTCCCTACATGTCCTTCGCGCTGCCGTGCAAGCGGCGCGACGCTATCCCGGCCGTGTGCCACGTCGACGGCTCCGCGCGGCTCCAGACGGCGAGCGGCGAGGCGGAGGCCGCGAACGCCTGAGCACCTGAGCAGCGCCTCTTCACCGCGCATCCGCGTGAACAGGTGGGCGGCGAGGCGGACCCGCGCTGGCGCGCGCTGATCGCCGCCTTCTTCGCTCTCACCGGCGTGCCGCTGGTGTGCGCTCCGCACGACCGCACGCGCCAGAGCCGCGGTGCCACCTCGGCGGACTTGACTTGCTCGCCGCAGGTGCTCAACACGTCCTTCAACACGCGCCCGGCGGAGCCCATCGTAGAAGGGCCCGCCAACGCGCTCGCCGCCTTCCTACACGTGGCGTCCGAGGCGAGCGGGGGCGAGGCGGTGAGCGGCGGCGAGGCGGCCAGCGGTGCCGGCGGCAGCGCGCAGGGAGGTGCAGAAGAGGGTGCGGAGGAGGAGAGTGCGGAGGAGGGCGGCATCGACCGGCTGCTGCTGCTGCTTGGCGATGGGCGGGCGGCTCTCGTGCGCGCGCGACGTTGCCCGCTCGCCGCCGCGGGAGCAGCGGCTGCCATCGCTCGGGCCGGGGAGGCTGGCGAGGCGACGCGGCCTGGCTCGGCCTCCGACGCGCTCTGTGAGGCGGTTTCCTTCACGGCGCCACGCTGCGAGCAGGCGCGGCTCGGCGGGCTGCGCGCGACGCGGCGGCCGGGCGTGCGCCGTTTCGTCTCGAGGATTGGCGCGCGCGAGTCGGGCGAGACGACCGCGGTGCAGCTGCGGTCGCCGCCCGACGGCGGGGGGGAGGAGTGGGCGGACGGCGCGGCGGGCGAGTGGCTCGCGGCCGACGGCGACGCGGCGGCCGCCGAGACGTTCACGCCCGACGCGCCGCGGGAGGCGCGCGAGCACCGCTCCATGGGCGGCCGTGCGGGCGGCGAGATCTCTCACACCGGGCTGGTGTGAGCAGGCGTGGGTCGAGCTGGGCGACGAGCTCGAGCTTGCGGCGCTCGAGCTGTCCGACGGCGCGGAGGTGGCCGACATCGCCCAGGCACTCGACGCGCCGCCCGACGAGGTGGCCGCCGCGCTGCGCTCGCTGTGGAAGCGGCGCTTCGTCGCACTGGAGTGACAGAGGGAGACCGTGGCGAGCCGCGAGCGCCACGCCTGCAGGGCTCAGCCCGAACCCAGGCCGTATCTTTCGAAAGAAAAAGGACATAATAGTGAAAGAATTAGTTTGCTTGTTTACACTTTCTCCCGAACCCAGCCCTCGGTGTGTTTTGCCGCGAATTCCATGCAGCATGGCAGGCATGCAGCCTGCTATGACTATCACTATGTGTGCTATTGCGTATTGGCCTATTGCTAGTACGTCACATCCTTCACCAGCTTGTTGATCGAGAGGATCTTTGGGAGCTGCATCTCCTTGTCGGACTCGTTGGTCACGGTCACGTCGGGGTCCGACAGCACTTCATATGCCTCTAAATACGACTTCTTCGCCCACATCTTGATCAAGCTGTCCTTGAACTCGATCGGAGCGTTGTGGATGTTTCGAACAGTGCACCGCCGTGCCGCCTCAGGCGCAGGGCGAATGCCCTCGTCCGAAGCCTGCTGCATCGAAAGCCAAGCCTCGAACTACGAACATGGCGGTCCGTGTCAGAGCGCCTCTGGGCAGGGGAAGAGGTAGAGAAGTGTGAGGCAGCACAGCGGCGAGAGCGAACGCCTGCGTCCAGAAGCGCGACATGTACGAGAGGTCGAGAAGGATGAGGACGGAGGCGCCGAGGTACAAAGTGTTGATTCTCCCCATCATCGCCTTGAATTCCAGCCTCTCCTCGAGGCTCCGTTCCTGTCTGGGCGTTTTTTGTGGCATGCACCTGCACGGAACCAGATGGCGAAGCTGAGCTCCCGTGAAGGGCCGAGAGGAAGAGCGAGGGGGGGGGGGGGGGCATACCAGTAGTCAAACCACACCCACTCGACGGCAGGGTTCGCCTCCAGGTAGCGCTTGACCTCCCGCAGCTGCACCCCTTTGGTGTCGGGCGACTCTGGCGTCTCCCACCTGTGCGAAATGGCGAGGTACTTGCCCAAATCATCTCGCGTCGCTCCAGCCACCCGTCCCGCCCGCGGAGCTCCTGCATGACTGGCAGGATCTTCTGGGTGGACTCGCGAAGCTTGGCGGCCGACACAAAGTAGAAGGTGCTCTCTGCCTCGAACTTGGCCCGCATCAGCTCCTCCGCCTCTACGTTGTGTCGCCTTGTACTTGGTGTCGCCGTCTTCTCCGGCGCCACCTTCGCCGCATCACTCTTGTAGGGATCGCCGAAATAACACGGCATGACCAACTTGCCCGGGTGCTCAAGCGCGACGGGAAGGTTCGCGAAGATAGTGCTGTAGGTCCAATCGGTGATGCGCAGCAGCTCGATGCAAGTCTCGACGCCGCATACCGGGTTTAGCAGCGACATGCCAAATGCAGCCCAGAATGCACTTAAAAGGAACGTGATGAGACCGATCATCTCAGAGGCCGCAATAAGGTAGTTGGTCACTTGCGGCAATCCCCCAATGACGTAATAGCAAGCATTTGCGCACTCATTGTTGGAAAAGCGGCATAACGACCTGCATAACATGTGGAACCAGCCGCCGGACACGTACCGTATGAGGCCGATCACGAAGTGGTTGAGGAAGACCGGGATCGCGAACACGACCACGAGGAACCACTTGACTCCTGTGTAATATGCAAACGTTGGGCTGCTGTCGTTGCGCCGTGCCCACTGCCGCCACGTGCGGCGCGGCGTGTCCGGTGCCTCGCAGCATCCTCCGCAGCAGGACAAGTCAACGTCCTTCTCGAGGTCAGGCTGCTTCTCCCCGAGGAGGTCTTGGCCTATCATGTGTTGGCTTCTCGGTCTCTGCAGCGGCGATGTGCATTCCGATCCTCCTGTGGCGGGAACGTTACATGTCGTCAGATTAAAATAAAAACTAATTAGCGGCCTGTGGAGCTGGGAAGAGACCGCCGCGAGCGGCGTGGCGTGGAGCGGTTGAGCCCTAAAAGTTTAAGATATTTTGCGCAAAAGATCGCGTTGCTCTTGCGGCAAGACCAGGGAGCGATCTCACCCCCTAAACAAATAAAGGTACCGCCCTCGCGGTACCGCAGTGAGTACCGCCCAAAACAGTGCTGCTTTTCGGCCGAAATGGCCTCTTGACGTCCCGCTCTGGGCTTTCCAGGATGACAGAATTGGCCTTCGCCAGACTGGGGACTATTGTGCGCCTCGGCGAGGCGGTTCCGGACATCCCGATCGCGAGCGCAGTGGACTCATCTTGCCGGTCACTGCCGGCGGTCGACAACTGCCCTTCGAGCAGCGTCGGGTACCGCCGGCAAGATGAGGTCCACCGCGCTCGGAATCGGGAATTCGGGATGGCCGGAACCGCCTCGCCGAGGCGCACAATAGTCCTCAGTCTGGCGAAGGCCAATTCTGTCATCCTGGGCCGCCGCTGACATCTCTCTCTCGACCGGTACCTCGCTTGGGCGGTACCGGGCAAATGCCGGTACCGGCGCTCAAAACCTGCGGTACCGCAGTGCGGTCGCTTTATTTGTTTACGGGGTCACTTTCTTTACTTCCACGCGCCGACGAGAGCACTCCCATGCCCGGCCGACCAAAAGCCGCCTCCCGGCGCGGACACGCATCAACGGCGGCTGCTGCGCCGCTCGCGCTGCCGAAAAAGATCGAGGCCGCGGCGGCGGACGGCAAGGCGGGCGTGGTGCAGACGTGGCTCGCCGGGGACGGGCGGGTTGATGCGACGTGCGTGCATCGCGGTGTGAGTGGCTGGACGCTCCTGCCGATCGCCGCCGGACACGGTCACAAGCAGCTGGTCGAGGTTCTGCTGAAGCGGGGCGCGAAGCCGGACGCGAGAGACAGCTACGGCACTACAGCGGTGATGAACGCCGCCGTCAATGGCCACGTGCAGGTGGTCGAGACGCTGCTGCGGCACGGGGCGGAGATCAACCTGCAGAACAGCGGCAGCGTCACCGCGCTGATGCTGGCTGCCATCCAAGGCTACGAGCGCGTGGTCGAGCTGCTGCTGCGGCACGGGGCAGAGGTCGACCTGCAGGACGGCGCCGGCTATACTGCGCTCGCGAGCGCCGCCCTCAATGGCCATGCTGCCGTTCTGCTCCAGCTTCTGCGGGCGGGCGCAGACATGACGCTGCGCACTGCGGACGGCGAGACGGCGCTGCAGCTTGCCAAAGAGAAGGGTCACACCGAGTGCATCGCCGCTGTCAAGACGTTTCTCGGCGAGGTGGCGGCGGAGAGGCGCGACGCGGCGGCGGTCGAGGCGGGCGGCGAGGGCAGCGCTTCGGGCGGCAGCAGCGGGCCTGTTCCCGAGGAGATCGGCGCGGCGGGCGGCGCAGGGGCGGACGGCGATGCCGCCTCGGGCAAGGGAGCGGCGGCGGAACCGACTGCCGCGTCCTCTTCTGGCGGCGTGGAGAGCGGAACGGGCGAGGACGCCGTCCCCGAGGAGGTCGTGGCGGCGGCTAAGCAAGGCGACGAGGCGGTGCTGGCGTGGCTCGACGGCGGCGGGCGGGTGGACGCGACTTTCACTCGTGAGGGTCTGAGCGGCCTCACGCTGCTGATGGGCGCTGTCTCCGGCGGCCACTGGCGGCTGGCCGCGGCGCTGCTGCAGCGTGGCGCTTCGATCGACCTTCAAAACAGCGGCGGCAGCACCGCGCTGAAGCTCGCCGCCCTCCTGGGCCACGAGCGGCTGGCAGCGATGCTGCTGCAGCGTGGCGCTTCGATCGACCTTCAGAACCGCGTCGGCAGCACCGCGCTGACGATCGCCGCCGGTATCGGACACCCCGCTGCTCTCCACTGCCTGCTGCGGGCGGGCGCCGACACGAAGCTGCGCACGGAGTCTGGACGCACAGCGCTGCAGTTTGCCAAGGAGGAGGGCCACGCCGAGTGCGTGCGCGCCCTTGAGGAGCATGCGGCGGCTGAAAAGGCGGCGGAGGCGGTGGCGAAGGAGGCGGCGTGGGCTGCGGGGGCGGCGGAGAGGGCGGCGGAGCGGGCGGCGGCGGAGGCGGAGGCTGCGCGGCACGCCGAGGAGCTGCTGGCGGAGGTCGAGGCGGAGAAGCGCGGCAAGGGCAAGAAGGGCAAGAAGAAGAAGAAGGGCGGCGGGAGCGGCGGCGCTGGGCCGTCGCAGGATCCCGAGGCGCCGTCGGAGGCAGCCGCAGCCGAGGCCGCAAAGAAAGCCGAGGAGGCGAGATTGATCAGGCTTCTCGAGACGCTCCACGAGGAGCGGATTCGGTACCGCATCACGGCGGAGACGTCGGTCGAGGGGCTGGCCGAGGCGTTGGGAGAGGAGGCCGAGGCGGCAGGCGAAGCGAGCGAGGAGGAGGCGGCGGAGGCGGGTGAGGAGGCAGCCTGGGTGGCAGCGGAGGCGCGCCGGGAGGCCGAAGGCGAGGCGGACGCTCTGGCAGCGGCAGAGGAGGAGGCGGCTGCCGCGGCGGCGGCGGCGGCGGCGGCGGCTGCGGCTGCGGCGGCGGCTGCGGCGGCGGCGGCGGTGGCAGAGGCGGCGGCTGCGGCGGCGGCGGCAGAGGCGGCGGAGGTGGCGGAGGCGGCACTGGCTGCCGTCAAGGCGAGGCGCGCGTCAGCGGCCGCCGCGAGGGCCAAGGCGAATGCCGACTAGCCGCGCGCAAGGACAGCAACCAAGTACAGTACTGCTACTGGCGCCGGCGCACGGATCGTGGTTGGAGCTTGGAGGCATGTGTTGGGAGGAAGGTGAGTGCAGGGAGGGGGAGGGGGGTGAGCTCGCTGTCCCGTGGTCTTGTCTGTTCAAGGGGGCTCCGCGATCTCCACCGGCACCACTAAAAGGGGGAGCGGAGTGAGGTGAGAGGACTTTTGTGGGAGTGGGTGGAGTTTTTTATCCGGCGCTTTCCTTACGCCAAGCTGAGATGCTCTGCGAGTGCGACTGCCCGCCCTTCCCCGTCTCGTTTATTTCAACTATGTGACTCAGGCATACATGGGCTATCCTATGAATGATAAATCTTCCGCACGCACCACCGTGCGCTGCTCTTTCACTCCGCAAAGTCGCTCTCTAGCTTTATCGCCGACAGCCGCTCCTGCCACGCCTCGCCCCGCGCGACCAGCCGCGCCCACCGCGGCAGGTCCTCGCCGTCCTCCAGCGCGGCGGCCGCCCCCTCCGGGTCGGCCATCCTCGCGGCGGCCTCCTCGTCCAACCGGAGGTGCACCTGCCGGGAGGCGGGTGTTGGGAGGCGGCGTGGCGCGTGGCGGATCCGAGGCGGAGGCGGGGCGCGGAGGCTGGAGCCGAGAGAGAGGAGGTGTGGGCGAGCGCCTCGAGAGGCGCCGCCATCAGCTGCGCCTCTGTGGGCGAGAGCCGCTCCGGCCACTCGACGAGTGAGACGCAGTCGCGGAAGACGGCGGGCAGGTCGACCAGCTGCCCCACCTGAGAGGTTGGAGACAGCGGCGCCCTGGGTGAGGAGGGCGTCGTGTCTGGCCACTGCGTGCCGCGGCCGGTAGGTTGGACTCCGTTCCGCATCTAGCCCCTCGCCTTGCCCTCAGGCAGCCTCCACAGGTCCATGTGGTGCACGGTGACGCCTGAGCGAAAACAGAGAGGCAGGCTAGAGGACCACCAAGCTCTGCAGATTGTGCGTGCGTGTCCATGTCTGTGTGCGCGTGCGTGTGCTTGCTGCGCGTGCTGTGCGTGCTGTGGCGTGGCGTGCTGTGCGTGCGTGGCGTGCTGTGCGTGTGTCCTAGTGACGGCCGCCTGGCTGCAGCGCGCCGCCCTCCTCGTCGGGGTAAGTGTTGTCAATCAGGTAGCTGGGCGAGGCGACGTGGAGCGAGGCGTCCTCGTCGCCCAGCCACCGACGGATAAAGCCGCGTGCCAGGCACGTCTTGCCCGCACCGTACCCTCCGTGCAGCAGTAGCGTGTCGCCGGCACGCGCGCGCTCGGCCAGCGCGGCGCCGAGCGCCATGGTGTCGCCTGCCGTTGGGAGCGGCAGCCAAGGTGTCCCAACGTCCGCCGCGGTCACACCCAGGCTGCGATGAGCCGGCCGGGCGGACAGCAGCGTCGGCCAGCCGCGCGCTAGACTCAGGAGCGCCATGGACAGGATTGCGCTTTTACTTTTTTTCTAGTCGCGCCGCGCGGGGAGGCCTCATCTCTCCCTCCCTCCGACTCTCTCTATTGCCGCCCCATTCGTGATAGGGACTTTATTTGCAACTGAGTTTCTTCCTCTTCTCTTGGCCGTAGATTGTTGCTTTTGTTGGCCAGCCGCTCGAGCCGCGAAGAGGCTTGACCGCAATAAAGGCAAGAGAGGAGTTGGAAGGCGGGAAAAAAAAGAAGTGAAACGCAGCGCGGAGAGTGTCTTGATTGCGTGCGCTCTGCTCTGGCTGCTCACTTGGTCTCCGAGAGAGAGCCACCTCTCCGGAGGCATGCTGATTCGGATCCGGACGCCCGAGAACGAAACCATCAGGCTGCAGGTTGATTCGAGCACAAATTTCTCAGACCTCCTCGCGCAGGCGGCGGCCGCGGCTTCGTGCTCTCTCGATGCGGCAAGTCTCTCCCTGAACGGGACGGATGCAATTGTGGCAGTTTCGAACGCGTCTGTGGCTGAGGCGGGACTGGCGCAAGGAAACTTGATTTACCTGCTCGTTCGTGCCGAGGGTGACGAGACGGCGACTCCGAGTCCTAGCGACACCCGTCAGGCGCCACCAATCGCCGCCCTGCCGCCGTCACCAATCAAGGCTCAAGGAGAGGCCTCTGGTACGGGGGACGAGACGGTGACTCCGAGTCCTAGCGACATTGCGCCACCCGTCGCCGCCCTGCCGCCGCCAATCCGAGAGGCCTCTGGGACGATTGCCGGAACATCGGCACGCGCAGCTGCAAGGCGGCGGCTGGGCAGGCACTTGCGGCAGGACAAGGTTGCCAAGCGCCGCGGCCTCACCGTCGGCCTCACCGTCCCACAGTCACCGGCAGAGAGCGGCGGAAGCGCGGAGGAGGCCATGCCGGACGGCGCGGTCACGGAGGCCACGCCGGACGGCGCTGTCACGGAGGCCACGCCGGACGGCGCTGTCACGGAGGCCACGCCGGACGGCGCTGTCGCGGAGCAGGCCACGCCAGACGAGGGCGTGACTGCGCCCGTGGGTGGCCCGCTGGCGGCCATCACCCCGCCGCCGCCCCTCGCCGCCTCGTGCCGCGAGGAGGAGCTGCGCAAGGCAACGCTCAACAAGTGGAAGGTGCTGCTCTTCGGCAAGAGCTCGCCGGACAAGGGTCTCAAGCCGCTCATGCGGAGGCTCCGGCGGCTCAAGGCGGGCGGCGCGTCGGCGCCGGCACTCAAGGGCGGCGGCGCTCTCTCCCTGCACGGGCTGCAAGAGGCGGCGAGGGCGGCGGTGCAGCAGGCGCAGGAGGAGGGCCTCGAGCTCGCAAAGGCGACGCGGAAGGACAACTCGAGCGGCTACGCCAACGTCTCGCTCGACAAGACGCGGTCCCGCAACCTGGGGCACGACATGTACACCGTGCGCGTCCGCTTCAACGGCAAGCGGCCCAACCTCGGCTGGTTCTCGACGGCGGAGGAGGCGGCGCTCGCCTTTGCCCGGCACAAGGCGGGCAAGCCCAAGGTGGAGCTGCGCAGCTCCGTCGGCGGCGCGGCCGCGCCCGGGACGCGCAAGCGCAAGCGCTCTGGCGGCGCCCCCTCGGGCGGCACCGCGCTCCTCGGCGGCACGGTGAGCGTGGGCGGCGACTCCTCCGCTCCGTGGGCGTCGAACCGCCAAGGCGCGGGCCCGCCTTCGCTGGAGGGGGGCTCGTGGGTGTGGGCCAAAGACGGCGCCGGCAAGTGGGGCAAGGCGACGGTCCTCGCGGTCGAGGGCGGCGCTCCGGCGGAGCTGGGCGACGAGCAAGAGCTGAAGCTCGCTCTGCTCCTCTCGACGCTCCGCCCGGAGGCTTCGGGCGTCGCGCTCGCTGCCAAGTTCAAGCGGCTGGCGAGCGGCAAGGCGCCCTCCAGCCCGACCACGGCGCGCGTGCGCTTCTTCCTCTTCTCGTCGAAGCACGACGCGGCCATCCCTGTCGGCTGCGGCAGGCTGCGGCCCTTCGAGGCGTGGGCGGACGTCGAAGGGCGGCTGCGCCCGGCGTGGTCGGCGACGGGACACAAGTGGCTCGGCCTGCGCGTGGCCCGGAGGTTTCACCCAGCAGGGCGCTCCGTCGTCAAGTGCTACGGCACCGTCACCAGCTGGGTGCCCGCCGACGAGACGGAGAAGGATCCGCCGCTCTGGCGCATCGAGCACGACGACGGCGACAAGGAGGACCTCGAGGAGGAGGACGTGCGGGCGGGGATCGAGCTCTTCCAGAAGCAGGCGGCGGCCAAGGGACGGCGCGGCGGCGGCGGGCAGCCGCAGCAGGAGGAAGGTGTGCTCGAGCCGCTCCCGGCGGCGAGCGCGGCGGCGGAGGGGCAGGGGAGCGGGAGCGACAAGAACGTCGAGGCCCTCTCGCCGGCCACCGCTGTGGCGGCAGAGAAGGCGGCAGCTGAGGAGGCGGCGGAGGAGGCGGCAGCGGCTGAGGAGGCGTCGGGGGAGGCGGCGGTTGGGATGGCGGCGGGGGAGGCGACGGGGGAGGCGGAGGCGGCTCCGACCCCGAAGCGCGCGGCGAGGAAGCTGCCGCCGCAGACACCGCAGAAGAAGCTGCCGCCGCAGGCACCGCCGCCTGGCGCAGGGCCACCGCTGCCTCGGCTGCCAGGTCTTGGCGAGGCGGAGAAGGTGGAGGAGTGGCTGTCGCTCAAGCAGGGCGACCCTGACCTGATCGGCTGGCTGCGCGAGCTCCCGCGCGTCGCTGGCGCCGTGGCGGAACAGTCGGCCTGGGAGGAGCTGATCAGCAGGTTCCGCGTCGGGCTCGTCCGCCGGACGAACGGCGCCTTCGACCGCTACTATCGGTCGCTCAGCGGCAAGGTGTACTGCTCGCGCGCCGAGATTGCGAAAGCCTTCAACTTTGTGCCCCCCCGCGGCGGCGGCAGCGGCAGCCGCAGCGGCGGCGGCGGCGAGGCGAGGCCGCTCGCTGTGCACGGAGGCGCGGGTGCCGAGGCGCGGTTGCGGGCGCAACTGCTGCAAACGCTTCGCAAGTACTTTGGCCACGAGGCCTTCCGCGGCAGTCAGGAAGAGGTCATCCTCAAGTTGCTCCAGGGGAACCACGTCTTCTACCAGGAGCGGACCGGCCTGGGCAAGTCGCTCGTCTACCAGCTTCCGGCCCTGCTGGAGACGCCGTCCAAAGGCCGCATCACGCTGGTCATCTCGCCGCTGCGCTCGCTGATGCAGAACCAGGTCATGCAGCTCAACGCGGCCGCGAGGGCGCGCTGGGAGGAGGACGTCGCCATCTTCCTCGACCAGTCCTGCGGGAAGGGCGAGCTGGCGAGCGTCGAGCGGCGGCGCCTGGTGTACTGCACCCCGGAGAAGCTGTTTCACAAGGACGGCCAGAACGACCTTTTCAAGCTGCTCCTCAAAATGAACAAGGCGGGCAAGCTGCTCCTCATCGCCATCGACGAGGCGCAATGCGTGCGCAAGTGCTCCTCGTGGCGCCCCTCCTTCGCGCTGCTCGCCTCGGCCCTCTCACCGCTCAACCAGCTGGACAAGGCGCGGCCCGCCCTCCCCGAGGCCCGCCCTCCCCGAGTTACTCCACACCCTCGACACTCCACACCCTCGACACTCCACACCCTCGAGACCGTGGCGCCTGCTGCGACGACTGTAGGTGCGCCGCGTCCCGAAACTGCTCATCACCCCGATGGCCGGCGACGAGGCGGCCCGCAGCGACATCTTCGAGCGGCTCGGGATGCGCGACGTGTCCGTCTTCCGCTCGCCGTCCCTGCGCAGCGAGCTCTCGATCCGCGTGCACATCGACCCGTTCAAGTCGACCCGCTATGGCGAGGCGATGGCGCACTCGCTCGGCTGGCTGATCGCCGCGCTGCAGAAGGAGCCCGAGTTCACGCTCGTCCTCGTCTCCACGACCAAGCTCTGCGAGAATGTGTGCAAGCTCCTGCGCGACTATGAGGTCTCGGCCGACTGCTTCCACGCGCAAATGGCGGAGGAGGACAAGAAGGTCGCGCAGTCCAACTTTGAGGAGGCCAAGGTGCTCGTCTTTGTGGCGACGATGGGCTCCTTCGGGATGGGCGTGCACTCGTCCAAGCCGATCAAGCACGTCGTCCACTACGGTGCGCCGCAGTCTCTCGAAGACTACTACAATGAGGTCGGACGCGCGGGCCGCGACGGTGCGCACGCGCGCTGCACGCTCATCCTCACCTCGGAGGACATCACCAAGTACAGCGGCGGGATGTGGACCAAGGATAAGGACGCGCAGCAGCAGGAGCAGCAGCTCGACGCAATCCGCGGCGTGCGCGAGTTCGCCCTTAACTGCGAAAAGTGTCGGTGGCAGTCTCTCACGGAGCGCCTGGATGACGGTGCTGTCGTCGACCCGTGCGGCATGTGCGACGTCTGCTGCGCGCCGCTGGCGGCGCCGCCGAAGGCCGAGTTTGGAAGCATCTTCGCCTTCTTGATCCGCCTCGTCTACGAGGCGACGCGCAAGGGCGAGTCGTACACGCCGCAGACCTGGCGCGAGCTGTGGGTCTTCGCGCGCAGCAGCACGGCCTTGCGCGCCGAGGAGAGCAAGCTGCCGGCGGCTGTCCGCACAAGCGGGCCTCGCGCGGGCAAGATGCTCGGCGCTTGCCTCTCCTTCCTGTTGGCGCCCCAGGGCCTCGTCGACATCTCGCTGCGCTCGCCGAGCAACTACGGGCGCGGCTGGGGCCAGGGGTTCGAGCAGTTCGCGCTGAGCGAAGCGGGGCTGGCGCTGTACAAGGCGGGGCTCGCGGGCCTCTCGTACCGGGCACCGCTGCCGCCCATGCTCTACTTCTTGCCGCCCGGGCACGAGTGCGGCTCCACCCGCCCCGCGGGGAGCTTGCTCGAGGTGGCGGCGGAGGCGGAGCAGCCCTCGCCGCGGCTGCGTGGCAGGCGCACCGCGTGTGCAGCCTCGTGCGGCTGCCCCCTGGCGGACGGCGCAATCGAGTGCAGCGGCTGCGTGACCTGGTTTCACCCGGTGAGCCTCCCTTCCGCCCTTTGCCACCCAACGTCGCCACAACCGCGCCGCGCCGCCGCTCGCGCAGGCTTGCCTCGAGAAGGCGGAGGGAGTGAGGTGGCTCCGCGACGCCAACGACGGCAAGCGCAGGTACCTCTGCGCGAGCTGCAAGGAGCTCGACATCAACTTTGTCGAGCGCGTCGTTGGCAGGCGTCGGGGCAAATCGGTGACGGTGGATGCGGAGGTGCGGAGGGCCGTCGAGAGCGAGGTGATCGTCGCCGCCCGCGTGTCCGTGGCCGCCGGCGGGCGCGTCGCCTTCCAGCTAAGTGTCAACTCGGCGCGGGCGAAGATGTGCCGCATCATGGAGGGCGAGGACTCGTCGGCGAGTCGCATCACCGCATGGCGCCGGAGATTGTAGGGCGAGAGGCCGACGCGCCTCCTCCCGTTTTCTAGGAAACAAAGTGCTACCTCGCCGTGTGGGAGCTCCCGGACGAGGAGGGCTGGTTGAGCTGGCAGTCGGAGGCGAAGCTGACGCAGCACGCCAAGGAGGCGCTGCTCGAGTACAAGGAGGCGCATGAGGCGCCGCCGCCGCCAAGGGGCGGCCGCAAGCGCGTCGTGCTGGACGAGGACGAGGACGGACCTCGGGTGCCCGACGGTCCGAGCGACGGCCCGGAGCCACCGAGGCCCACGCGATCGCGCAAGCCACCACAGACCTTCCAGGCGGGGTCGGCGACGAGTGACTGCAAGAGGCTCAGGCTCGCCGCGGCATCAGCATCGCCACCACGCCCTGCGGCGGCACCGGCGGCGGCAGCGCCCTCTTGCCCGACCGGCGCAAGGTCGCCGCCACCGGAGCAGCCGCCGCCTCACCTCTTGGACGAGGCGATGGAGGTGGAGGTGGAGGAGCCGGCGGCGGCGGAGGCTTGCCCGTTGCGCAAGAGGGCGATGGATGCCGCAGAGGCGGCCTTGGCGAAGCTGCCCCCGCAGCTGCGCCGCTCGCTCGAGTCCGAGGGCGTGCGGCGCTTGCGGCCCCAGACGGCGGAGGCTCTCACGAGGGCGTTCGAGGACGACCAGCCCCAAGCTGCGGGCCGCCTCTTCGCTTGCCTCTTCGCTTGCCGCGAGTCCGGCCTCGCGCTCGCTCAGCTCGACTCCGACCGCCGCGACGAGCTGCTCGAGGCGGCGGTGGTCGATGGCGGCGACGCGGCGATCAAGATAGCGCAGGATCTGCCAGGCGGGCAGCTCACCCGCCCCTTCTTTATGGCGGACGAGGACGAGCTGGCGAAGCAGGGGTCGTGCGTCGTCTACAAGGTCGAGCTGGACGCGGAGGGCAAGCCCGAGAAGTTTACCTCCAAGCCCGACACTTCGACGGTCGCCCACAGCGTCCTCGGCTCCTCCAACCTGCTGAGGGTCGTGCCGTACGACTTGTCCGAGTTTACGCCGCTGGCCAAGCAGCAGGCGCAGCGCGAGCAATGCGAGCAGCTCGGCCAAGGCATCGACGTGCTCGGGCGACGCTTCAAGTTCCTTGCCTTCAAGACAGACCACAAGGTGTGTGCAGCGCGTGATGAGTCACCGCCCGTAGCCCTCCTCTCGCCCCCAGACCACGTGACGACGCCACCGCAGATGGCTGCGATGAAGATGATCTTCGTCGCGACGGCGGCGAGCGGGGAGACGGCGACCGCGCGCGACTTTCTCGGCGCAGGGCGCTACGGCGATGGCGATGGCGCATACGACGACGGCGATGACGGGGGTGGCCTACCCCGCTTGCTCTCGCTGTCCTCCTCTTCGTCAGAGGCGCTTGGGCCGCGGGGCTGGTCGACGCCCGAGGAGGCTCGCGGCCTGCTCGGCTCCTTTGGCAAGCTCCCCAAGGTCCACAAGTTCGTCAAGCGCCTCGAGCTCATGCTCTCGCACACGCTGCCGGTGCTGACCCACTTGCAGGTCAAGATGGGGAAGCGGCTCGAGGGGCGGGTGACGCTCGAGCAGCTCAAGGCCTTGGCTGCAGCGCCCCGGGGCACGGCGCTCGTCGTCATCTGCGACGACATCCCCGGCCTCGACGCGATGGGCGGGGAGACTTTTGACCCGCGCGGAGCGCAGCGCATCATGACGGACGGCGCGGGGCTGGTCTCGATCTCCCTCGCGAAGCAGTTTCCCGCCGTGAGCAACGGGCGAGTCGTGTCTGGTGGCGAGTCGGCGCTGCGGGACTTTGGCACCAACGAGAAGGTTGCGCCGCTCGTGACGCAGCTGCGGGCGTGGGTGCAGGGCAGCCTGGCCAAGGGCACCGTCACAGCGTGCCCGCTGCTGGCCGACGGCATCATCGTATTGCGCCGGTCGATGCTCAAGATCGACGCGATCGACCCCGGCCTCTCGGATTTTAGCCGCATTGAGATCTGCGGCACGAGCGAGCGGGCGTCCAAAGTGCGACTCAACGCGAGCTTCGTCCCGCTGCTGATGGCGGGTGCGAAGCGGCAGGGCGACAAGGCCGCGCAGCAGATGTACAAGATCTTCGAGGAGCTGCAGGACGAGGAGGTCAAGCGCATCCGCTCGCTGACTGGGGCGCCGAGCGACGGCCAGGGCCTCAAGCAGGCGCTCGAACGGCTGAAGGGCGGGAAGCTCCTCTCGTCGCACGAGCGGGCTGGGGCAATGTTGCACGCCGGCTTCACCCTGCAGGAGCCGCGCCTCCGCGAGGAGCTCAACTTCATCCAGGCGGACCACCTCGCACGCCTCCGCAGGGCGCGTCGCTGCCATGCAAGCCCCGGTGCAGGCACGCCTCTGCCCCTCCCATCCTAGCTCGGACCACGTGTAGGCGAACATTCCGGTGCCAAACTCGTACGTCCTGCTCGGCATCCCCGACCAGAGCGGCACGCTGGAGGAGGGCGAGGTGGTTGTCATCCACGGCGGCAATCTCCTCTCCCCTCTGGCGGACTGCTCGAGCCAGCAGTCCATCGATGTCCTCGTCTACAAGCCTCCGGCTTGCGCCCCCTCCCCCGCCCCCGCCGCCTCCTAGCCCGCCCTCACCGCCGCCACCCTCTCGGCCGCTACCGAGCCCGCCGCCTCCCTCTCGCCGCCTCCTCCCAGCCCACGACTTCCCTCGCCTCCACAGCCCTCTCTTTCTTCACCCAGCCCTCCGCCGCCTTCGCCACCGCCTCCTTGCGCCTCACCATCCTCTCCGGCCCACAGGGCGCGCACGAGGGCGACGTCCGCAAACTGCGCTGCCTCTGCCAGAACCTCCCCAAGCAACTGAGTGCGATGCTGAAGGGAGTGATGTCAAGGCGCGCCAACGCCGTCATTCTCTCCACCAAGGGCGAACGCGCCACGGGCGACAAGTCGGCAGGAAGCGACTATGACGGTGAGCCTGCAGTTCCGTCACCGCCCACCGTCCGTGCCGCCATCCAGCTCCACGCCCCCCGCCACTACGCAGGCGACCTCTACAGCGTCATCGCTCAGCCGCAGATCGTCGCCCTCTTCGACGAGAGGACGCCGTGGGACGTCAAGCCGCTCGCCAAGCCCGCCGCCGAGCCCGCCCCCACGAGGCACGACGACCCTCAAGCGCTGCAGCAGCAGCTCCTCAAGCACTACATGCACCTGCGGTACGACTCGGCGCCGACGGTGGGCACGTCGGCGGTCAATCTCATGGCCTTCCAGGACCGCGGCGAGACTCAGGCGTGCGAGCGGCTCGTCGACATCTACAACGCCGCGCTCGACGCTGGCGTGACGGGCGAGGTGCCCTCGCTCCCCGACGACCTGCGGAGCCAGGCGCGTCGAGCTGCTGCCCTGCGCCCCTGCTCGAGCGCCAGCGAGCTCAGCCCTGCCCGTGCCTTGGAGCGCCAGGTGCGGCCGATTTGGATGCGAGAGCGCTACGCCGGCGGCAAGGGCTTGACGTTTGAGGACACGGACTCGGCAATGTGCAAGCTGTACACGCGCCTCGCGCCGGAATCTACTCCGGCGGCGACCCGCCTCCCTCAGGTCTTGCTCGACCCCGACCTGCGGGCGCTGGCCACGTCGGGGGGGGAGCAGCGGCCGCTGGTGGAGCTGTGGAAGGGTCGGGTGGTCCAGTACAAGTCGCTGGTCCGCGACATCCTCTCCAAGCCGCAGCCTCCGCTGCTCTCGAACGAGGCTGCGCCCCGCACCGCTCTCTCGCACCCAGCCTGGCCAGTAGCCATGACACTCACCCTTTCGGTCTCCGCAGGACGAAGAGGCTGCGCGGCGGCAGGAGATCAAGGAGATCGGCGCCTCGTACCGCAAGCTCCTCCTCGCCAACCACGACCAGGCCGAGGGCGGCTGGGACATCGAGGTCGAGCCGCCCCGCTCGCTTCTCATCGAGGCGCGTCCTGCTCGCCTTGCGTCTCTAACTCAGCCGTCGCCATCGCCCTCCGACTGCAGCGTCCCCGGCCCACGCAGGCCTGCCTCGTGTACAAGGTCACCTACGAGCACGAGATGGCCAAGCGCCGCGGGCAAGACAAGCGCCCCACGTGCGAGGGAGCCGCCCACGGCGCCACCAGCGGCCTCGCCTTCCCGTGGGTCATCGCCACGGACTTCCTCTGCCGCGCCAAGGAGCTCAAGGTCAAGCAGCAGGCTCTCGGCCGGCGCCCGTAGTGGTCGTGAGCGGAGGCGCCCGCCCACATGCGTCATGAGCCGTAGGAGCCCAGAGCGAGGGGTGGGGCCCAAATTGAGTGTACGATCGTGTAGTACTGAGTGCGATGTTTGTGGGTGGTTGGTGACGAGCGACGGTACGGTCGTCTGCAGCACCGTGATAGAGGTCGATGTAAGATGACGATCGATGTGTTTTGGCTAGCCTTTGTTGGGACGCTTAGGCTTACACGGCAAATCTCTCTCTCTCTCTCTCTCTCTCTCTCTCTCTCTCTCTCTCTCTCTCTCTCTCTCTCCCTCTCTCTCTCTCTCTCTCTCTCTCTCTCTCTCTCTCTCTCTCTCTCTCTCTCTCTCTCTCTCTCTCTCTCTCTCTCCCTCTCTCCCTCTCTCTCGCTCTCTCTCGCTCTGAGTCGAGAGAGAGAAAGTAAGTACGGCTCTAAAAATAAAATAGACACAGATACTAAGTGATGTCGCTTGTCGGAAGATGTGAGAGACTTCAGACTTGTGGGTACCTGTACCGCGTTGTGGCTCCAGAATTTACCAAAAAATCCGCCGGGCGGGGTGCGGGTGTGGGGGCGGGGTGGCGAGGACTGCGAGGAGAGTGAGGTGCGTGTCCCCCTAGGTCCAGGTGTCCCCGCGGCGCGCCGTGTGCCGGGGGGGGCTGCGGCTGGAAACGAGAGACAACGAGAGAAGAGAAGGCTCGACTACGAGGTCCGAGACGGATCCCATATCTGTAGGACAGTGCACACGTTGTCAGTGCTTTTAGCTTTATGTAGGTTAATGACGGATAAGAACGACAGCCCGGCGAAACCGGAGCGGCACATCGCACATCAGTCGTCGTCCATGGCGCCAAACTCATCCGAGTCCTCCTCCGACTCGCCCCCATCCTCCTGCAGCCATGTTTTGTTGGCCAGTCGCTCGAGCCGCGAAGAGGCGTCGGCGGTCAAGCCTGAGGCGTTAAATAAAGGCAAGAGAGGAGTGTGAGTAGGTAGGCCCGCCGCCACCTGCACCGCGCTGGCCGCCGTCTGCGCCACGCTGGCGAGCTGCTCGACCCCGCCGCTCCCTCTCCCTCCTCCCACGAGGCTCGAGAACTGGTCGCGAATGGGTCGCCAGTACGCTCTCGCGTCCTGCCCCGACGGAAAGCCCGCCGGGCCGAAGAGGATCGGCCACACGTGGTTCTGCATGTTTTTGAAGTGCACCCTCACCGTGTTCGCCCCCCGCCCGAGCTCACGCTGCAGCCGCCAGGACGCGAGCGACTGTCGGATGCGGCTCGTCAGCAGATACTGCAAAAACATGACAGTGAGCTGCTGGCACGGGTACCCGTCCTGCATCCCGTTTGCCCAGCTGGCGCGCATCACCGCATCGCCGCCGTCTTCGTCAGACCGGTTCATCTCCCCCTTGAACTCGCGCCACCGCTTCAGCACCTCGCCGCATTGCATCCTCAGGTTGTGGCCGAGCGGCGCGAGCATTGAAGCCGCCCCGCGCTCCGCCGGCGCCGCAATGGGTTGATGCAGCACCGCCGCCACGATGGCGCTCGGCCTCCGCATCCGCGAGTCTCTCAGCGACGCCGTGGTGTCCGCCGCCGCGAGCGGCGCCAGCAGCGCCGCCTGCGCCGCCGCCTGCTCCTCCGCCGCCCTCTGCCTCTTCTCTTTGGGCGCGTCAGCCCACTCCTGGTGCTGCAAGGCGCGCGCTCGCCCGCCTCGCGCTTCGCCTTGCTCGTGGGCGGACGGGCGTACGCGAACAGCTCCTCCGCGTCGCCCGCCGCCGCCCGCCTTGCTGCGGGCACGGTGTGCAGCGCCTCCACCGGCCAAGCCTCCCGCAACGCCGCGCCGCGGCCCTCGCCCAGCCGCCGGAATGGTCCGCCACCACCGTTCGCCTTGTCCGCCGCTCGGGCCGCCGCCGTCAGCGCCGCGCCCCCGCCGACGAATACGAGCGGACTCGGCATGGTGTGCGGCCGGCCCTGCGCCACCGCCACGCTCCGGTGGGTGTCGGTCGGTGGGCCTGACGCAATGAGACACGCTCCGCACCTCCGAAGCCTCCGAACGTTCGATTCGCCCCGTCCGTTAACGTCTAACCGCCCGCCGCGCATAACTGACTCCTCATCACCTCCCTGCTAACATACACCGAAGCCTCTCGTAACGTCTAACCGCCCGCCGCGCTAACTGACTCCTCATCACCTCCCTACGAACATACAACGACGACGACATCTCACACCCCGCGCTGGCCAGCGCCATCAGCCCCTCACAGCCCGGCCCAACCTCCCTTCGCCTCGCCTCCAGCGCCTCCAATCAAGTCGCACCTCTCTTCTTCAGCGAATGCAGCGGCAGCACCACGTCAGAGGCCGGGCCGACTGGCGGACCTGCATGCCCAGCCATGCCCCCACTCCCCACCCGCTTGGATCGATCAGCTGACAGCTCCACCAGCTCCCACCACAGTGTGTCGTGTCATGAAGCATGATAGATAGTAGAAAGCAAAACAAAAACAAAACAAATGAACCATCGAAAGGTCTGATCTCCAAAAAGAGCTCTCGGCCTGCCGCGCGCGCCCGCGCCCCGCCCCTTTTGCGCAGCAACACCTTAAACTTCATGGCCCTCCAAATTCGGGTCGGAGCGTAGCGGAGTGGGACCCGAGTTTGAAAAAGGCGACGGACGCTTGCGTCCTAGCCTCCAACAACGCCTCCCCGGCGCAGAGGGGCCCCCAGAGGGATGCTCAACCGCCCCACGCCACGCCGCTTGAGGCGGTCCCCAGCTCGCGGGGCCACTTCTTATTTGGCATTTGACACGCATAAGCGACACACAGACACAAACAGGCTCACAAGACAAGAAGACACACAGCCAGCTATGTCGCCCCCCCCCCCCCCCTAGCATGTATGTATGAGTCCCGTGCCCAGTCCTGTGCCCAGTGTTGTATGTATGAACATGACAGTGAGCTGCTGGCACGGGTACCCGTCCTGCATCCCGTTCGCCCAGCTGGCGCGCATCACCGCATCGCCGCCGTCTTCGTCAGACCGGTTCATCTCCCCCTTGAACTCGCGCCACCGCTTCAGCACCTCGCCGCATTGCATCCTCAGGTTGTGGCCGAGCGGCGCGAGCATTGAAGCCGCCCGCTCCGCCGGCGCCGCAATGGGTTGATGCAGCACCGCCGCCACGATGGCGCTCGGCCTCCGCATCCGCGAGTCTCCCAGCGACGCCGTGGTGTCCGCCGCCGCGAGCGGCGCCAGCAGCGCCGCCTGCACCGCTGCCCGCTCCTCCGCCGCCCTCTGCCTCTTCTCTTTGGGCGCGTCAGCCCACTCCTGGTGCTGCAAGGCGCGCCGCTCGCCCGCCTCGCGCTTTGCCTTGCTCGTGGGCGGACGGGCGTACGCAAACAGCTCGTCCGCGTCGCCCGCCGCCGCCCGCCTTGCTGCGGGCACGGTGTGCAGCGCCTCCACCGGCCAAGCCTCCCGCAACGCCGCGCCGCGGCCCTCGCCCAGCCGCCGGAATGGTCCGCCACCACCGTTCGCCTTGTCCGCCGCTCGGGCCGCCGCCGTCAGCGCCGCGCCCCCGCCGACGAACACGAGCGGACTCGGCATGGTGTGCGGCCGGCCCTGCGCCACCGCCACGCTCCGGTGGGTGTCGGTCGTGGGCCTGCCTGACGCAATGAGACACGCTCCGCTCCAACCTCCAACCTCCGAGCCTCTCGTAACGTCTAACCGCCCGCCGCGCTAACTGACTCCTCATCACCTCCCTACGAACATACATATGTAGGAAGGTGAAGAACAGTCAGGCTCGGACTGGACACCAACGCGGTATGGGTGGACGCGGGACAGATGATGACGACACGCACGAGCGACACACAGACACAAACAGGCTCACAAGACACACAGCCAGCTGGCTGCCACACACCCTGAGTTGGCGTACACATAACTCAAGGCCGCGCCCCCCCCCTGTCGCCTCCCCCAGCCAAGGTGCCGAAGGAACAAACAAGGGCACAACAACACAACAGACGACAGGGGCGAACGCGTGAGGCTAGAGCAGGCTTGCTCGGCCTCTAGCAATCTCCGCCGACCGCGAGGCCGGACTAGACCGTGTGTGGGGTCGTGTGAGGTGTCTCTGGTCACTCTCCTCAGAGGCTAGCCGCCAGCCGCTAGCCCTATCTCGCACTCACTGGCGGTGACAATTCTATGGGTGAGCGTATGCGAGTAGAGGCGCGTGAGCCGATTCTAGGTCGCATGCCATTGGCATATAACTTGGCTTGGCGTGCGACCGCAGCGCGCCCGCCGTCAGCTCGACGGTGCGCGCATGTCAGCGAGAGGTTTGCCGGTAGAGCGATCCCGGTCTTGTCGAACGCGAGCCCCGCGCCACGGTTGCCAGCCGTGCCTTCGCGAGAGTCGCCCTCGGGCCGCGTCCCGTCGGCACTACCCTCGAGTGCGTGTCGCTTTGGTTGGCGACACCCACTCGTCGAGGGCAGTCCGGCCGACGGGAGCCTGTCGCGCGCCGGCGACGAATGCGGCGTGTGTGTGCGTTAGAAGCGACGATGGCACGACCACCGCCCTGCTCCCTGACCGGGCAAGGAGGGGCCTACTCCCGTTCCGCGAGGAACAGGAGGTCAACCAACGCGGGCGGGGCGAGCTCAGATCAGCACTGCCGGAAGGGGGGTGGGCGGGGGGCACGCTGGAGAGGGCGGTCGCTGCCTCGTCTCGGTGGCTCTCAGCAAGAGGCACCGATGTCACACATCAAAATGAGGCAGGGCATCGAGCGATAAAAAAGAAATCGTTTACCCGGCACGGGACGGTGATCACCTCCTTTGACGCGCGGCGAGTTAACCTTTGGGCGAGCGTCGCCATCGCGCCCGTCCACATGGTTGCCCCGCCGAGTAAACCGCCGCCGAGCGCGGAGTACTTGTCCCGCTCAAGGAGAACTGTGGAGGCAAGATCGGCTGAGGCTTGGCAGGCACAGCGCAAGAACTGCCAGGCGGCCGCTCCGCCGCGCACGGCGGCTTTGGACATAGATCCCTTGCCCCGCGGCAGCGTCACATGGGCCCCGCTCGGCGTCGAGCGCTTCTCCGCCGAGCCCCGCGGCATCGGCATCGGCGGCAGCACGCTACTGGAGCAGTGCCGTGAGGACTTATCGAGCAAGGCCTGCAAGCACAAGCAGAAGATCGGGATTGGCATGGTGCTGTGCTGCTTCCTCGGCATCGCGGGCGGCGTCGGTGGCGGCGTGGGCGGGGGCGTCGGAGCCGGCGTGCCGGCAGTCGCTGCTGCGGCTGCCGTGGTTGCCAGAACAATCATGGTGAATGCACCCGCGCCAGCGCCTGCGCCGGGGCCCAGCTCGCCAGCGCCCGCAAACGCGCCGCACGGGCAAGGGCATGGCACCGGCAATGGGCAGGGTCAAGGTCAGGGTCACGGTCTGGGCATGGCGGGCGCAGGCGCGGCGGGAGCTGGCGCAGCGGGCGCGGGCGTGCTCGACTGCCGCTGGCTCGACTTCGACCACGGCTCCTTCTGGCCGATTGCAAACCAGTTCATCGTCGTGATACGGCCCGAATTTGCGGCCAAGGAGTGGGCGGAGGAGTACGAGGACTGGTGGTACTACACAGACCTGGGTGACCCGATGCTCTTGCCAAACTACTATTCGCACCTCGCCACGATTGAGCGCGTGCTCAACGCCGCCGTCGTTCGTGCGGGCTGGGGCGTCGTCGTCGACATCCTCCAGGACGAGCGCGTCGAGCGCGTCGCGTTTGACTGCGCCGTGCACGCCGACGTCTCGTTGCACCCAGATGCGGCGAGCGACGCGGCGGCGGGGCTTGAGCACGAGGCAGAGGTCTGGGCGGCCGACCTTGACCCAACCAACCTGCTCTCGGCCGTGACCCAGTCGTGGCCGCTGCCACCGCTCTGGCGCCGGCGGCGGGCCCTCGCAGACATCGACGCCGACGGCCTTGAGGAGAACGGGCTGCCTTGGAACCTCGACCGGCTAGACGGCGAAGGCGGCGTCCTCGACGGTCAGTACAACGATGCGATGGGCGGCGAGGGCGGTAAGGGCGTCAGCGTCTACGTGATGGACACCGGCGTTGCCAAGCACGATGACCTTCGAGGCAAGCTGCAGCGCGGCTTCCCAGACGCTGGGATGCTGCGCTCGCTAGAGCGCATCATGGGCCAGGAATGGGACAGCACGGAGTGGCACGAGGACGGAATCTTCGAGCCGGGTCCGGGGCGGGGCGATCACGGCACGCATGTTGCGTCTGCAATCGCGGGTGACCGTTTCGGCGTCGCAAAGGGCGCGACGGTGGTGCCGGTGCAGGTGTTGCAGAACATCGTGCAGAAGGACAGTCAGGGGGAGGTGGACGAGCCCTTTGCGAGCGGCCCAACTTCACTCTTCCTTCTCGCGCTCGACTGGATCGTCACTGACTTCACTGCCGCCGCCGCCAACACAACCTCGGGGCGGCGCGGTTGCGTCATCAACCTCTCGTACGGCGGCAAGTTCTCAGGCGACGTGTACGGGTGGTTCTCGCTGCCCGAGGACGCGCTGGCGGCTGTCGAGGCGGCGGGGTGCGTTGTCATCAAGGCGGCAGGCAACGACGGTGGCGCGGCCTGCAACACCTACCCGGCTGCCTCCCGGCATGGCATCTCGGTCGGCGCGACAGGCAAGCCGCGCCCGTTTGGGAGCGACCCGCTGCTGCCTTGGTCGAACCACGGCTGCTGCTCCGACATCTTTGCGCCGGGCGAGTCCATCCTCGCGGCGTCAGCCGAGGCGGCCAACGCCACTGCCGCCAGCGACGGCACCTCATCGGCTGCGGCGATGGCGTCGGGCGTCGCAGCGCTACTGTGGTCGGAAGACGCCGGCGCAGCGACAGCCGATGAGGTCTTCGTTGCGGTGCTGTGCCTGGCGGAGCGCGACGCCATCTACGGCGTCTGCCCCTGCGAGGAGGGTGGCACCTGCACCGCCGGCTCGGCCGCGTGTGACGTCGACGAGTCGCCGCTCGCCAACGCGACGCTGCAGCAGATGGAAGGCGAAGACGCGGCGACGGCGCAGGCGGCGGTGCAGGATGCGCTGGACACGCCGAACCGCCTCCTCTCGATCATTGCCGCGGGCGGGAGCTCGGGGTGGCCGCGCACAGGGGAGTGCCTCGCATTCGACCGCCGTGCGTGGGGCTACAAGCCGTGCCTCCCTGCGCAGCCCCTGGCGGGGAATAGCACCAACGTCACCAACGCCACCGAATGCAAGGATGACCCGTTCGCCCTCCTCCGTCCCGGCTCGGACGCCACGGAGCGGACGGCGGGCGCCGCGCAAACAGAGCGCGCGGGCAGCGGCGCGGCGGACGCGTCGCAGCAGCTGCCAAAAAAATTCTCATACCCGCAGATCAACTCGACCTGGGTCTGGGCGGGCGACTGCCAGTCCGCGATCGAGCACTGGGAGGCCGCGCTGCAGCTTGAGCGCGCCGCCGTCTGCGCCACGAACCTCTCCGTCGCGCTCCGAACCGTCTACCCTGACGATGCGGAGCGGCCACCGCTGCCGAACGGCCTCAGCGAGGGCTCACAGCTCGCGACGGTCTGCGCCGCGTCGTGCGCGCTGGTCGGGCTCGGCCCATGTGTGCCGGGCTGGGAGCCGCACCCCGTCACGGAGGTGGGCGGCTGCCACCCGGCGGGCTCCCTGCTCGAGCTCGCCGGAGGCCGCGCAGTCCGCATCGAGGATGTGCGGGTCGGCACGCCCGTGCTCACCCCCTCCGGGTACGAGCCGGTGGTCGGCCGGCTGCATGCCGAGCCCATCGTTTCGCGGGAGTACTTTGAGATCGTAACCTCCCGCGGTGTGATGTCCATCTCGCCGCTGCACTGGCTGTACGTCAACGGCTCCCTCGCCGACCCCGCGGGAGTGCGCCCCGGCGATTGGCTCACGGCGCCGGACGATACCCGTGCCGAGGTGCTGTCGGTGCGGCGGACGCTCCGGGAAGGAGCTTACCACATCACGACTCCGAGTGGCGCCTACTACGTGGATGGACACCTCGCCTCCACCTACATGGCGGTGGTGCCGCACTGGGCGTGGCGGCTCTTTGGCGACGGCTACGTGCGGCTGCGTCACCGCCTCGGCGTGCCGGTGACCCGAGGGCCGAAAACCGCACAGCCCTTTGAGCAGGCGCCCTCTACACCCGCTGCTGTGAATAGGTGACGCCCGAGGGCGAGGGGCCGCTCAGCATCTTTTGGCCGTACCATCTCTGGACGGCGCTTGGTGCGCCACCGCCACCGCCACTGGTCGGTCGGTCCGCCAACGCTGCGCGCGAGCATACCCTTCTCTCGCCCTCTACTCGTAGGCGTGCCGCCCTCTGCTGTGCCTCTCCTGTGGCCCTTCACGATGACCGGCAGACTACCAGGAGGCGTCCGAACCCTTTCTTCCTTCGCTTTCACGCTCAGCCTGTGAATAGGCACCCTGCTCGCGGAGCTCGCCAACACGGCGGTCCGCCAGCCCCTCGCGCTAGCACACGCCGTCGCCTCAGGCCTTGCCCTTGGCATGGCGCTGCCTCTGGGGCTGTTGAGGGCGTCGTCGCGAGGCGGCCGCTCTGGGCGCATAAAGATACATTAAGGCTGCATGTGCGCATCGACAGGGGCCATCGAAAGCTGGGCACCAGGGTGCAAGCAGTACACTGAGTTGTCAGATGAGAGATGTCACTGAGTAGACCATTAGTCCAATAGTGCATGCCCGGGGTATAGAGACGAAAAAGAGTCTGTCTCTGCTGTAACCTGTATGGACAGTCTCGTTCATGTACACGTTGTTGCTTATTGTCGTTACAACAATATCTTTGTGTTGCGAGCCTTTATACATGCATAATTATATCACGAGACAACTGTGTTACCTGTTACCCGACTCTCTGCATGGACTATCTCCCCTCAACGAGGAAGTTACAATAGAGGTTCGGGGGCGCTCTTGGTCTCGCATTCCTCTCTGACCTCTAATCAACCCGACCGGACTCCCCGCGCGGCAAGCTCCTGTACGCGTCGTGCTCCGCCTCGCGCGCTCGAGCTCTGTCGCTCTGTCGCTCTGTCGCTCTCTCACTCTCTTGTTCTCGCTCTCTCACTCTCTCGTGCCAGCATGTGTTCTCGACCACAAGAGCGGGTCCATGTGCATGCAAGCCCTGTGTGCCCCAGGTAGGCAGAAGTCGGGCGTGTCCGCTCCCGCGGACCGCCGTCAAGAAGGTACAGCGTGCTCGTATCCGCGGGTGGCCCCTCAAGCAGGGGGCACGGGTTGCGGCTGTGGTGGCGGCGGCTGTTGCTGCGGCTGTGGCTGAGGCGGTGGGAAGTATCCTTGGAAGGAGGGCGCTGCCGCCATGGCATAATAGCCGCCGCCGGCGGCGATGTAAGTGTGGGGCTGCGGCTGTGGCTGCAGCTGCGGCTGGGGTGGCTGTTGCTGTTGCTGCTGTGCCGCCGCGGCGGCGGCGGCGTACTCGTGCACGTAGTACGTTGGGGGAGGCGCCGAGCCCGCGTCGCCTTCCCGCGGCATGACGACGCCGCCGTCGCCCGGCGGCGGAGGGGGCGCGCCCGGGTGGGGCGGCTGGATAGCCCGGCGGCGGAGCGTGCATCACCATCACCTGCGGAAGAAGGCCAAGGAGTTCCGCTGGAAAGGCCGTTGGGGCATTCTTCCGGGGTCAAGAAACTGGGGGGGGGGGCGGGAGGGGAAAAAAACCCTGCCCCCGGGAATCGGGGGGGGGGG